TGCCTGCCTTCCTTCTTCCTTTCTTCCTTCCTTGTCTCCTTCCTTCCTTCCCTTCCTTCCCTCTTCCTTTCTTCCTTCCCTTCCTTGTTCCTTTCCTTCCTTTCCTCCTTCTCTGCTTCTTCCCTGCTCTCCGCCTTCCTTCCTTCCTTCCTTCCTTCCTTCCTTCCTTCCTTCCTTCCTTCCTTCCTTCCTTCCTTCCTTCCTTCCTTCCTCTTGTCTGCTACTTGTAGTTTGAAATTTTTGATCCAAATTTAATTTGTGTTGATCCAAACTTACTTAATTGGTTCGATCCTAATTTAATTTGTTCCCTATCCCCTCGAGCGCCACTCGCGACGACTGCCACCGGCGCAAACTGCCGAGGCCATAGTGGGGTGGCGGCTCCGGCGGAATGCCTGCGTGTATGGTGCATGCACCAAGCGCTTCACCCACCCACAGCATGCGAGCTTGGGTCAGCTTCAGCTTGCGCTTTTAGTGCGGGGCTGGAACGTTTCGGCAGAAGTGGGCTGTCTGCAGTTTCCTGGACAAGGTCGCCACCATCAGCGGCATCCATCGTCTTCGGAATTAGTCTGTCACATTCTCGGCGTTATGCCTTCGCGGGCCTATCCTTTTGGGTGGACCCCTCCGGCGTTGTATACGCGCGGCGGGTGTCATCGTCAATTTTGCACTGAGCTTGGTCCCGGTGCGGGGAAACTAAGCAGGCAAGCAGCGGCGGCTTTGCAGCACAGTCTCTGCATACGCGGCCGTTGGCCTAGATTTTAGCGGTGCCCACAACCCTTGTTAAGGCCGGGCAACGGCAAAAAGGGAAACTGTCAGTTTGGCCAATACTGTGCCCACCAGGAGGAGTACCACCCCTGCCCAGGTGTCTTTTCTATTGTGCTGTCGAAGTCACAGGAACACCAGACTGCTTCGACTACCGTGACCGGGAAGCCCAGGCCTGTGGCAACGGTCGTTGCCTTGCCCAGTTGATTCCGCACCGGTCGCAAGTGTGCCAGAAGTGGTTGGGCTTGTGACGGACACACTGTCCTCCACACCCGCGGACCGGCCTAAAAAATAAGCGCAGAAGGACTGCGACGACGAAAACCGACCGGACTTGTGCAGAGAGAGAGAGAGGGAGGCTGAACGCACCGCAAAATACATCTTCGTAAAAATGGTCGGGACTGGATTGTCCCTGTGGGTCCAGCTCGACATGGCAATGCTTCTCCGTCGTAGCAACAAGATCAAACCCACGCGTGAGGCTGCAGAACTATCATCCTGTCGCCATGAGGGCGTACTCGTTCGCCAGCTTTGTGATCCCGTCAACCGTGAGCGGGATGGAATCACCACAGCGATCGCCTGCAAAGGATTGAGTTTCTGTAGGTCCACAAGCACCTCACTTTTTTCCTGCATGTACTTACGGCAATCCTGGCCTGTGGCCACAGCCCATGCGGGAGATGCGCTTCCGGCCTTCAGCAGCGCATGGCCGTTCTTGGCACGCTATTAAGTGCGGAACCTGGTTCATGGAGCGTGCCTGCAGTGACAGGAGCAGTCCAGGCAGATGCGGATGGGAGATGCCGCAAGTCCGCGCGATGTGAAGCGCCTCGCAGCCAGGGCTTCGTCACATTTCCAGCACGACACTTCCGGAGACAAGGGACCGTCAGTGGTGAGTCGCCGGTCACCATAATGACCTGTCAGAATTGTCAGATCATGCCAGATCAGAGAGCCTGGAGCTGGCAGGCAAGAGCTGGCATGAGCCTTGTGGTCAGACTCCTGAAGAGCTCCCACGACCAGCCCAGAGTCCTTCCGGACGAGGCACTCGAAGGCGATGAAGCCCGCAAACTCGAGCTCCCGCTCTGCCTGGCAGCTGGCGAGCGCGACAGATCCGCAATTCTCTGCTCTCTGTGCCTCCTCGCGTGTCAACTTTTCCTGCCCCGCCGGCAGCTGCCTGAATGCCAGAGCGAGGACCTGGCGGCTGCGGCTTGGCCAGGTCTGCATGTCAGCGCGCTCGCCAAACAAACGAGGAGATCCCGGAGACCACGCTCTGCTAAGTCCAGGTGAGATCTGTCGTACCACCTTCGCCAGGGATACAAAGGCTGCTTAGAGAGTGGAGACGTTGGAGGCGGTAACGTTTTATGCTGTATAACGTGCTTGGCACAAGTGTTAATCGGTCCGGCCCCGGCGCAGCATTTGCAGCCAGGAGTGGCTTCAGGGCCTTCCACTTGATTTCTTTCTCATGGACAACAGTGGGTTTTTGCTACCAGCCTCTGGCGACCCTTTGACGAGGACATAGTTGCCGCCACCTTCTCTTGATCGACAAGTCTGCTTGGTCTTTCGACGGAGCTCCGGCTCCGGCTCCGGCCTTTCGCGCTGAGGTTCACGGCTGTACCATCAGCACCAGAGACCTGGCACCGCGATGCAGCTTAGACCTGTGAATGACATCAGCGCTGCGAGAAAGTCCACGCTATGATCCGGCAGGCGCGTCGGCCTCTGCAACCACAGCCATTCGCTGCAGCTGCGAAGCGAAGTGGAAACGCCTCTGAACTTTGCTGCAGCTCCGAACTCGAGGTCTCCTAGCAACCGGACATTATCGAACGGCTGTTTGCCGAGGCATGGGCTGCAAAATCCGCGCGCGGTGGATGCCAGCACCTTGCAGATGTCTGACAGTCGAAAGCCCCACTAACGGCGTAGTCTGACTTTGTGATACGTTGTGTGTGAGAGAGTGTGAGAGAGTGAGTGAGAGAGCGAGAGAGAAGAAAAAGAGTGAATAAAGAGAGAGAGAGAGAGAGAAACAAAAAATGTTGTAAAAAACGAGAGAATAGAGAGAGAGAGAGAGAGAGAGAGAGAGTGAGAGAGAGAGAGAGAGGCCGGCTACACAAGGCCATGTCCCAAAGCAACTAAGATATGCACGACTGCTGATGCTGGCATCGGTGCCGTCACCATCCTCGAATCGACTGGCTGTCAAGCAAGAACCCACTTCCGCGCACTCACTAGGAATCTAGGAACAGCTGCTGAGGTGCTCGCTGGAATCTGCGCAGGCTTGGCAGTTTCCTCCTCTCCGGCAGAATTGCAAGAAGCCGTGCGAGGCAGCAGAACATCTTTCCTGTGAATCATAGGCCCAACCAACGCCCTGCAGAGCGGCGACCTCACATCACGCGGTAAGGTGTCATGGAACACATCGAATCCTCGTCCGATCTGTGCAAAGACGTGGAAGCGGACTGAGGCCTCAATGGGATCTCCTGAAAGCTTGCCATCGACGTGGACCTGGGAACGTTGCTCTGACCCACACTGCATGAGGGCAATTCGAAGATCACCTTCAAGCGACAGACCAGGGAGTGACAAGCCGCCAGTACAAGTGCTGCTGCCGCATCTGCATCAGATACCTTCACCTTGTGAGCTCGAGCGTTGAATTTCGCACCCGCGGGTCTTGGCTTCGACTGCTGAATTGCCTTCGGAGGATGTTGGTGGCCGTCCTTCTCAGGCTGGCTGCTGGCATTTACCACACCTTCGTCAAGCACATTCTGAGCTGGACGATATCAAACAACATGAAACAGAAGTTGTGAGCAAGCAACACGGGGCTCTGTGAGCCTACAGGCACCAAAGTGTCGGTGGTGAGAGTGCCGGTCTTGTCGAAAAAGCAATGTGTCAACTGCCAACGTGCATCCGGGAAGGGATCGGAACCGAGGCTGGTCAAATGAGAAGGGCCAAATGCCTTGCCCGCAAGAGGCACTCGATACGGCTCAGTGCAGTAGACTCCCGTCCGAGAGAGGGCCATCAGGGCCTGTCACGACACGACGTCACAAGTTTTGCCTTCGGCAAGTGATCACGATTCCCCACCGTATTGACCGCCATGGCTGTCTGGATCGGCAGCTGCTTTGGCACCACAGCCGTAAGGATGAGTACGCACCTCATTGTGTTTTCACTCTGAGATTGGCCCCGGGCCCCGGGACTTCTGTTCTTCTCCGTCTCGTCTCGGCAGCTGACTTGATCAGCAGCTCGTGCGGGGTCTTATCGCCCTTCTCCAAGCCGACTTTCAGAACGTAGCCTGCGAGACTGCGAGATCTCCCAATCTTTACACTCGACCCAGCATGGCCCCTGGGACCTGCAGCGACGAGAGCAAAGCCCAGCAGGATCAGCAAAGCAATGATTACCTGAAGGGTCTGTGTCAGCACACACGGTCCTCATGTGAACATGCAAGGCTGGCCTCCCTGGTATCTCCGGAGACCTGAATGCTAGATTGCCGACTTTCCACATGACCTCCTCGTCGAATCCAATACCACCTTGTCCTGCGAGAACTCGATCATCTGCAGAAGCTGGCCCTGCGAGGATGCAAATCCTGTTCGAGCCTCAGTGTGAATGCAAATCGGCATGTCCATGAGAAACCAGCAAAGCAAGTCTTTTTGCCTGGACGCGATGCTCGTGGCGCTAGGCCACTGACCACAAAAACCAAGCTGCCTCCATTTGGAGTTGCCGGTACCTCCGCTACGACGCTACACGTGAAATGCAGGCGACATGAATGTCGGATGATGTCGGCCTGTGACGCTGCAGGAGCACCACCTGTCGATGCTTCGCCGATGGACGCAAGCACACTCTAAAGCGGCAGCTGCATTCAGGCCCCACGCCTGCATCCAGATCCTGAGTTGACAGCTTCAGGTTTACTGTATTGGTTTCCAGCGCAAAGCTGAACAGAGAAAGGGCAGCGCATCTTTGTTGCTTCCTTCGGATGCACGTACAATACGGGTGCCTAGCATTGCGAGCACGGCCTGCTGATTAGCTTGCTACTGCCACGTGGGCGCCTGAAAACAAGCAGTGGACACGATCTGTTCCTTGCAGATCCAAGCTTCTGTCCTGACGGCAGGTACACGAGATCCTATTTGATCAAGTTTCTTACTTCAGAAAATGTCCGTTTGGGTGGAGATTGATTGCGGAGGGACACGACAGCCGACAGTAGCCATCAGTAGCCTACCCCTGAGATCACCTAACCAAGGGGAGCATCAAAACCATCGTGCACGATGACGGTCGACTCATAGTGGCCCCGCATGCACATGACTGAAAAAACGAGAGCAAGGAGGTCTCGGAATCGGCCAGTTCGTCCAAGCAACTCATGGTACGAGGAGCGGGTCAGTCGGATGCAATCGAGACCCGTGGCAACACCAGGGCTGCCAACCGCGGCATCGCCAGAAGGCAGAAATCGGAACAGCAACCTTCATCGAGCAAATCCATCTGCTCCTATCCAGCTGGTGGACTGGCTGAAGGCACGATTTAGCCGGCGAGTGGACAGCAAAGGTACAGAAACAGCAGGTATCAGAAAACAACTCTAACAAACGGCAACTCAGGAAGAACGAGCAGGGAAGTAAATCTGGCATTCACATGAAGGCGCATCCTGCCCTGTGGATATTGCGAGCGGTTTAGCTCCCTCCGCTTGAAGCCTCAAGGACCGAGATGCAGCGATCAGAAGGTCCACAGTTTTGCGAGACTCAAGCCGTGCACCGGCACCAGTGTCACCAACAACCTCAATCGGTGGCGTAACTGAGTGTATAGCGGCAGTGCTGCTCCATGCTCCCCCCCCCCCCGGTTTCGGAGGCAAAGCCTTAGCTGGGGCTGCGATTGCTTGAGAGTTGGCACTGCTCTCACCATCGTTTGCCTCTGCCATAACCGGTCAATAGATGCACGGAGCCTGGGACTTGTCAGCAGGGATTGCTGGCTACATTTGTTGCCAGCTTCGAGTTGAACACCCTCTTGTTCTTTCCCACAACCATGGACTGCTGAGCACTCCTCGAGAACCAATGCATCCTTCATTTGCGGCGCAGACTCTCCAGTCAGGCTGGCTTCGCTTGCAACGGCCTACCAGGCTTGCAGTTCGCTCGCCAAGGCAGCAGCCATTCCCAAGCCTCGCCCCGAATTAGCACGCAGTCGCAAGGCACGATGTCCGGTGCAACCTCGTTCGCAACAGCATGCAAAAGTCAAAAGACTCAGCAAGAGACATGGCTTGTATGCCGCAGGTTGGATCCCGGGCCTTGTCAGCGGCCCCTTCTTGACGAGCAACCTGCTCAACAGGAAAAACTTGTAAAGCCCAAGGCAGACGCAGGAGCAGACCGTCACCAGCTCAATGAGGTCACCGGGGACCAGATCGGACGTGCCTCTGCATCTCCCAGTGTGCACTAGGCCACGCGACGGCAACGATCCACCGTCATGATTAAGTGGCGACCGTTTGTTGTTCAAACCATGCGTTTCCTTCCCAATGCGAAACCCCGCAAGGAATTGCTTTTCCGATGTCTTGCGTTTGTAATAGGGTGGAGACAGCCCCCGAGACTCGAAGCTCTCACGCAAGGCGCGCTGACGGCTTAGGCCACAAAGCTGCATGAGCACTCAAGCGGAGAACGCCCGCTCACAGCGCCCACGGACAACCAACAGCTCCCTTCTCTTAGCCAGAAACCTGGATTCTCTTGCTACTCAGACATGCTACTGGTACTTGTCTATGAAGTCCTGAAGCGGACACTGTGCAACTTCTCTGTCACTTGTCGGCCCTGGGCTTTCTGACTAGCTATCTCGCTGTATCTGCTCTTGGGTGCCTTACAGCCCGATCAGGCGTCAAAACTTGCTTTGGAGCTGGCTTAGGCTACTTTCCCTCCTTCGCCCCCTCCCAGGAAAGCCATCCTCCAAGAGGCAGACTGCCGAGGAGTCCTCATGGCATTTAGAATTTTCTCGATTCAACCAGCCAGTCGAGCTGCGATCCGGTCACGAGACACATCCAGGAAAGGACCGAAGACGAAAGAGTGGACCAAGATGCTCAACACTAAGACTCGGAAGTTGTGACGGCTCGGGTGGGAGAATCGCCGCTTCCTCGACGACGGGGTACATTACAGCTTCTCGCTCAAGGCTTGCTGCCAAACTGCCTGGCGACCGTTACGAATTAGCCCACTCTTTGCCCAAGGACCTCGAGCCCCATATGCTCCAATCACGTGCTCAGTTCCAGGTTATGTGACGGAGGTCTTTGCAGGTCAACCCGAGCGCCGGGCTCTTCTCGACCCAAGATCCCCCTCGGAAGACCTGGCTGTCGAATTGCACTTTCACTGGCTCCACCAGACACTTGGTCAGGGCTCACCATAATGCCGTAAGATTTCGTGCCCATGCTGTTGAGCATCTTCATCGTCTTCAGTCGCTGGAAAACGCTTGTGGACTCCATCGTCAAAATGAACCTGGGTCCAACAAGCACGGGCTTGCGGCAACGCCAGGGTGCCATGACACTCTCTGCATTCACTGCATGAGACATGCCATGAAGCAAAATTCCTTTAGGACTTCATCCACCTGAGCGACTCGTTTTCTTGGTATGCGGTCGGCTATGCCGCGCTGCAGAGCACGAAACTATTCGGTCTTCGCGAGCTTCCAATTGCGAGAGCCTTTATGCCTTCGGCCAACACAGCATCCAGCACCCGCAGCGGACCATGTCCACTGGCGAATAGCTGAGCCCTGGGCAGTAACTGCATCAATGTGTAGCCAAAGAAATCGTCAGCTGCCCAGATGAGGGCCACGAAGACCTGGCAAAAAGCGCAATAAAAGCGCGAAAAGCGCAAGAAGCGGGAGGGATCGGAGTCTGATCCAATTTTGAGCGGTGCCTGGAAGATGACCAAAGGCGACAAAAGCTGCTCCTGACTCCGGCAGCGAGCCGAGCACACAGTTTTACCTCTCTACGACCTGTCGACCTGCCGCCGCTGGCCTTGTAGCACTGGAAGAAGCTGGGAAGCTCCACCTTCCCACCGACATTCAAGCATCGCCACAAAGAGACCTGACACGGACTTGACCTCCAGCAGGTTGTCGCCAAAGCGACTCTTCAGATGCTCAGCATCATCATTGCCTACGCCAGTCGCCTCAAAGCACTTCCAAGACAGCGGCGGCTCGTACCGCATCGAGCTTCGTGGAAGCTTCGTGACTGTGAGTCTATGGCCTGCAGGTACTTGGAGAGCGGCTCCGAGACCGGACATGGCGTCAACTGAACCTCTCCGACCTGCCACAAAGGTGAGACACGAGCCAAGTCGAAAGGGAAAGGTCCTAATGGTCCTACCACAGTCGGGACCGGGGTAATAGTTGAGAGCTGGCGCGGCCGGAAGAGGACCGATCGGCACACCGTCTCGAAAGCCCAACTCACTCTAAAACCATACGCTGTCTTGCAACACCCACCACAATGTAATGATTCCCACTCCCAAAAAAACGCCCGTGAATCGCCTCATCGTCGGGATCCGTGCCGTTGTCGCCTGGCAGTGAACTCGCAGCTCCGTCTCGAGCATCCGAGAGGAAAGCCGAGAGTCGTGCCCGGTTCTAGGCACTCGTAGTGCTGGCGCTGGAAGATGAAGGTCAGGCGCAGGGTCGTCTCGCAAAACCTATCGAGACGACCGTCCTCCCTACCGAATCCGCAGGACCCGCTCCTGCACTCTCTCTCTCTCTCTCTCTCTCTCTCTCTCGGGCGCGCACTTCAAGGGCACCAAAGCCGCCCGACCACGGTGCCTCGTTGATTGCCAGCCGTGAGCGTGGTTTCATCCATCGCAGTTCCGACCGTCGGTCGTCTGAGTGAACAGCGGCAGCGGAGTGACCTCTGAAGCAGAGACACCCAGACGGCAGCTTCCAAGCATCAGCATGCATCAACAACTGCCTGGACATAGAAACCTTCCCGAACGTTGCGAGCAGGTTGGAACAACATGGAGGCTCGGAAACTGACCTGCAGGGAATTGCAGGCACCATGAAGCTTTGTGCACGATGTGTCAAGTTAAGACGCCTTCCAATGGCAGACAAGATGGAAAAAGACATGCAGGGAGATCCTGAGCTGTCAGACGTGTGTGCGAAAGGGAGTCATTGCATCGTCGAATCTGCACAGCGTCGTCGCAAAGAGCGATGCGCTCGCCCACGGGTTTGGGGCCTCGGAACAGGCTGTGCAACACAGTGCACAGCCGAGAGAAGAGGCAAAGCAGGGCGATGCCAAAACATCTCGCAGGCGATCTGAGCCCTCAAGCTGAGTCTCCAGCCCATTCTGAAGGCAGCTGCTCTTGTGGAATCTTGTCCTGCGTTCCATTGCATCAAGGCAGAAACTTGCCACCGAGAGCTGCGTAGTGAACCCAAAACGTTATTGTCAAGGTATTGCTCATCTACAGTTTTTAAATGCAACCGGACATCGGAGACCCAGAGAAAGTCAATCTGCACATGCGCGAACTTGCAACGACTCGTAAGTGATGTGCGAGTCACACACTGTCAGCATTGGCTGCCTCTTCCTTCGTCCCATTGAGGAAATGTTCCCTGTTGAGCTTGCGGACTCGCTCAAGAGCTGCCTGGCACCAGAACTCGTTGACGATCACTTCAGCCCGTACCGGTATCAGCGGGTTTCCACCTGATGAGCCTGCCCGGACGTCTGTATGCAAAATTGCAGTGCAAGCCCATGGAGAGCCTGGCAATCCGTGATGCAATCATGTCGCAAGGCGCAAAGGAGTCACGCACGCTTTCATGCCGAGCCGCCACGAAGCCCGCGAGCAAAGCAAACTTCCGTTGCGGCGCCGGCGCATGCACCTCGTTCCCCAAAACCTTCGAAGATCCTCTGCATGTTTGGCACTTAGCTGCAGGCCGTCACCCGTGCCAGGGAGGGAGGGTGTCGAAGAAGCAACTCATCTTTCATACCTATACTACTACTGGAGCCCAGAGTCTGTGATGATCACATGCTGAGAGGACTTTGCGACAGGCAGAGCCACTGTTTCATGATGTCATTTGCTGCACATTCTACTTGGAGCAGCATGAAGCTTGATCGGACATACCTGCGCAGCATCGTAAAAGTGCTGCTAGGTGCTGCTGCGTTTGAACCTATTTTGGGGGAGAAGGCGCAGGCCAAGAAACCCGAAAGCCAAGTCTGTTGAATCTGCAACGCTTGAGAAGGGAGCGGCAGAAAAACGGAACGAGTGATTGGTGTCTAATTGTGAAGATGCATGTCTTCCAGAATCGCGGAGGTGCACTTCCATTTTCTCTGCGGCTGAGCTCATCTAGGGGTGAAGGCCGCCTTGCTTTTGGCTGAAAGCAGTGCAAGACACGGTGCGCCGATGCGTGCACCCCAGGCAAACACTGAGCATGACTCGCCTTGTCAAGGAGCGCCGGAGCGCGGAGGGAAGATCAAGCTTCCTGGAGCGGCTCTGCAATCTCACGTGCCTGGCAAAGGGCTTAGCACGGCTCGTCGGCCAAAGGCCGCAGTCTCTAAACAGCTCCAAGGGGCCCCTTGCTGCCGCTTTCTCCTCACATACAGCGTCCCCAAGACGGCTAAAATGAGGAGCACGAGTGCGACCACGAGGCCTGGCTCAACCGACCTACCCACACCAAGGAAACGAAACTTACCTCGGATTCGCGAATTACGCTCTTTTGATGGGATAATCGCCACGTATCGCAACATCAGCAGCGATGCTGCAATGCTGCTACGCCAAGCTTACACGAGCGACTCATGCGCTGCATGACAAAGATGTGGAGGTGGCAGCCGCTGCGCAGGCTCGGCAATCTCAGCCATCATGATGCCTGAACAGGGAATAAGAGGCGTACGAATGCCAAAAATTGCACTGGATAATAAAGATAGCAAAATTTCAAACAGCAGTACGAACCACTAAGAAAACAAGCAGCTATGTGCTCAAGTTGCTTTTGCACACAATGGCAAGTAGAAGTGCCTGTCAATACCTTCTCGAGCAGCCAACTGAAACAAGAGGGTCATCATGCAAATTGCCAAGACGTCAATCAACATTGGACATTTGCAAGGAGAGGCATGTGTATATCATCGAACAATAATGTGCACCTGGCAACGCAGCAAAGGAAACGGAAAGTACTCAGACAAGTCGGACTTCAGCGAAAGCCGAAGGTACGAAAGAACCAGGCGCAGGAATGCTACTCAATAGGCCGCTCGTGCTCGGTTGTCTTTTCGCGGCATGCAGCAGCGCTCATCAAAGTGTGAGACATTGACTATTCGGTACGGCGGCCATTTCTGAGGCCAACTGGCTGGCACGCACCTGAATCAGGCGCGCTTTGCATCATTGCTGTAGAGGACTCCGAGTGCCAGACTCTGGCGGCTCGCAGTTGCAATGGTGGTAATGCCTGAAACAGGGCCGAGCTCACNNAGCTTCATGGTGCTTCCGGTCCAAAGACGCATCAGTACTTCCGGTTCTGCAGTGTGGACGTGATAGAACCAATGCCTCATGACACGACTGTGACGGCACCAAACAAGCAATCACTGCGTCGAAGCCTCATCGAGCACATTTCGTTGTCTCGTGGGAGGCGATTTGTCTGCTTCCAGTGCTGGTACTGCTTCGTGTCGCTCCGAAACCTTCCACACTAGCAGAGGTCGTTGACATTCATTCGTTGACCATTCTGAATTGAGCAGTCCTCCAATGACCGGAAACCGTTGGCACCTTTAGTCACACATGTTGCACAGGCAAGAGACTCACCCCTTTCCTTTGAAAGATGCTGGACACCTCAGTGCTGTGCAGCTTCTCCCCTCTCGCTTCGCCTCTGGGCTGCCTCCAAGTCGGCTCTGAACTTGCGAATGGCCGGCATGAGAAGGCCTCACGAGCACACCAAACCAGTACGGCATAGCAATGCATGGCAAATATCAACACATCTTGCAAATCCGTGCCCTCACTTATACAGCAAATATCCTGAGTTCTTGCATGTTGGTCTTGCTTTCTCGTGGACATGCAAAAGTTCAAAGAATGGCTGCCAAGTTTATTAATTACCGCACGAACTAATTCGGGTAAGGTGGGGATGAAAAAACACTCAAGTATACAGAGCCTGGAATTGAAGAAGCCAGCTACGAAATAGGTCCGCCAGCCCTGCCGCTTGGCGGAGTAAACCATCGGACATATCGAGCTGTTGGTCTGTCTTTTGCTGCAAGCGGCTCCAATAGGGCCCTTTGCGGCCGTTTTGTGTTTTTGCTGCGAATCCAAATCCCCGCGGATGACAGCGATTTCCGACCATTGGCCACAGCTCGCATCTGTTGACGGTCCGGTAGAGTATTGGTTGCCGCGCTTGCCGCGTGTGGGTAAACACCTGATGTGCTGACCAAGTCTGCGGTGAAATTCATCTACAAGACAGCTATTCCTGGTCCATGTGGTCTTGGTCTTTCGGGCTCCATGTCCAGCCTACAACCTGTGTGAAGTCCGAGACTTTATGCGAATTCTGATGCGTTGTGCCGGAAGCTGAGCGACGGAATGGACCAGATGCACACGGCGGCTGTGTGGCCATGCTTCTTTGCCATGAACGTCCATACATGTCCACACCAAACGCTCGTCTGCTGCAGAGCGTGGACTGCTTCGAGCCGCAATCCCCAGACATTGAATCACGTTTTGCTGGTTGAACGGGTCAGTGCATCGGAAAAGCCCGTCGAAGTGCACGCCTATGTTGATGATCAACGCTTCTTGCACTGGCATCGCAATCGGCCTAGAGCTCTCGCTGAGGTCCAACAAAAATCGGAAGTGTATGGCCCTTAACTCAACCAGGATCGATTTTCTGTCGAACTTCCCAAGCTCGCCAAGCCTAGTTTGCTTGCCGGCTCAAACGTTTCATCTTCTGCCATTGCCAAGCGTCCTTCATTTGGCCCGATAGGCGCCCTCTCACGAAAGTGTGCGCTGCCGCTTAAGGCGAGCCGGCGGCTGTAGCACCAGATTGCAGAACAGAAGGTCGAACAGTGTTTGTTGCGGTGCTGCCGCTAAGACGAACCGGTGACAGTAGCACCAGATCACAAAAGGAGGCTTTAGCCCCACGATAACACATCAGCAAGAAGTAAATCTGTCCTGTGAGGGGGCCCTGTGCCACTGCATGCCGCCTGTTGTAACGACCAAGCTGCAACAACCAGCCAGATGACGAGTTCGGAGCTTACGGTAGAATAAAGCGGTGCGACGCCAGAAAACATTCCTGCTGTGACCACGAGTCGTCCGCTAAGCGCATCCAGCCGAAAATGCAACCCAGCGCGCCTCCCACTCAGATCCCAGCCAGCCACCTTGAAGCCAGCTCAAGCAGCCACCCGCTTGAACTGCGGGTGCTTCCAGACACGGACCACAGTGTGTAGCCAGAAACATCGCTCGCCATACTCAGACCTGACGGCCCATGTGCTCGCTGTCCTCCACACTGTGTCGTAGGTCAGCCCTGTATGGCCCGGGGTCGTCATCCTTCTCGGGATGCGCGTACCCTGCGCAGCATGGGTAGCATTCACAGCGGTCCCATTCGATCCTGTCTGAACCTCTTCTGCAACAGTCAACATGGTCTCAGCCGCCTGCGACGCTTGGCCCCGACCGCCTCGCGCATTTCCTCCTTTGTATTCGCCGCGAAAGCGACGCTCAAGAGCCTCAGCTTTGAGACGGATAAAGCTGAAGCGCCCACCGAATCAGAACCTTGGAGTCGGGGCTCTCGTCGTTGAGGGTGCCGAAGATGGCTACCTCCTGCAGATAATGCTCGAGCATTGCCAAAAGCTTGAGACGAAGCTTCTTCTGCAGATCCTGAATCGGGTTTCTGCGGTGATAGGCTGCAACAGTTCCACCACCGCACAACCCACCAGGTGTCACAGAAACCGCACGTCGTGGAAAGCAAGGGCGATCAGCTCCATGGCAGCGGGGTCGTCAACACGGACGCGCTGGAACTTCGGGCGACCTGTCGATGAGGTTTTCGAGCTGTCCAGGTGCAAGAACACAGCATTAAAGAGCTGAAACAGGGAGGTGCGCGCTCGCATTGCACCACTTCGCCCAGTGTCCCCCCCCGTAGAAGGTGATTCAGGCACAGTCACACCATCGCCGGAGACCTCGTGACCAAGCCACAAGTCACCATGGCCCGCAGCAAGGGTTCCGGCAAGGAGTAAGCAGGCGTCCCTTCAGCGTGATGATAGCCGGTTGGGCGGCCACTAGAATGTACCTGACAGCATGCTTGGACCTGCCAGCCAAGCACCAGGAACAATGACCGGAAGCACGGAGGGGCACGGCCTCAAGGACCGGACAAGAGAGTCGACAGAAAGCCAACGTAGGAACGACTCCCCACAACCTGTCGCCGGTAGCTCGGCATAGCTCGGCTTCCGGCTCCATGGCATGTTCACGCAGCCAGGCGGCTGAGCTCAAAGCAGGCACGTCCCACTCCCAACGTGGACTTCGGCGTCTTTCCAGGAACTCCAAACATCGGTGGCGATGGCATGCTGGAACACGGGGGCTTGGAACACAGACACCCAGGAGCCGAGGAGGCTCATGGAGGCTCTCAAGTAGCGCCCATGCAAGGGCCGAGCTGCAGGACACGCACGTGATAAACACGAGTGCCCAGTTGGGTACCGCTGCACGGACGGTGAGAGTGGACATAAGACGCGAGGGCCAAGCCGTTGAAGTGCAACGTGCCCTGCCTGCACCCAAAGCAACCGACTCCTAAAAGGAAGTCCAAGGTGCCTATCCACGTGCAACCACAGCTAATCCCGGATATGCACACAAAGACCTCGAGGAGGGGAAAAAGGAGGAATCCGAGGAACGCACATTGTGCATCCTTGTTCACAATGAACTTGCACGAAAAATGAGGAGCCACAGCCCCAACAACTTAACCCTTCAATAATATGCCACATGGGGCACGGATACATTGTGCGATGCAGAAGGCTGCAGCAGCAAGTGTATCGTGCATGCGCGAACTGACGCCATATGCAGGCATACCAAGATGCCCAAGGCCAGGCTCGAAGGATGCAAACATGCCGGCAAATGAAGCGTCTGGTCCTGTCCGCTTGCGCTATAGCGGCTATAGCTAGCTTCGACAACACTGCCTTAGACATGCTTGCCAAGGAATCGAGACAGGTCTTTCGCACAAGTTGCTCACCTGCCTACTACCGATAGCCCATAGCCGAAACAGCCTGCAGTGCAACGCAAGTTGCTGCAAAACCTTCGACTTCATGTCCAATCAACGTGCGCCAAGAGCCAACCTGGTAGATCCTCTGCCCGTCGGCACGGGCGAAGGATCCGACCTGTGCCTTGAATTCGTGACCTATGGCATACAGTCGTTCGCCAAGCCCAGCAACAAGAGTCTGTCAACATAGATTGTGCCTGTGTTCCAAGTGTGCAAGGTCGCGTGACAGGGTGTGACCGATGCTGTAAAGCGTCGTGTGGGCTGCCAATACGGGTGACCAAGCCCCAACCCGCTGCCCTTTCCTGCTGAGTCTTGCGCTTTTGCGTGAATCTACTGATGCCATCTGAACATACAAAGGAGAGGGTCTTTTGCAGAGGTGCGTCCTGGCTATTTCAGCTCAGTCGAGCTCCATGGTTGCTGCAGGATGCCCCAAAGGTGGTCGTCGTGTTCGGCAAGCTCTCGGGCTGACCTCTGGCGTCGTTTATGTCCTTGCAGACGCCTCTGCTATGTGGCTGTCTCCTCGTGTGCCTCTGGGTGTCTCTGTGGGACTTTTCGTTTGGATGAATAGGTCCTAGGATGGCAGCCTTGTCCTGTCATGGGGGAACCATTGCCTTTGCAAGTGGAAAAAACTAGATGATACTGCCCATGCCCAAAGCACAGGTTTCCGTACACCTGGCAGGTTCGGCACCGTTGAGCAGCGTGCAAGATTGGGAAAGCTCGTTGGCGTTTTGCTGCAGCTCAGCAGAAGATCTTACCACACCACAACGACGCGGGACCCACAGAAGCATTTCAACCCTTTTCCCTGCAAGTTGCATCCCACGTGCGGCTGCAAATCGTCTTCCCTGCCTGGGTATGAATGACCGAAACCAATCACAGCGGCGCGAAAACTCGAATGTACGTCTGGAAACACCTGGCAAAAAGCTGGGCCATATTGGGCCTACGTTCATGCAACTGCCAGCTGACGGCATCGCACCTGCAGTGGCATTGCGTTGCCCTCATCCGCACGCAAGAGTCTGTCGTAGTTTAGCGGGAAGAGCCTGCCACAGCAGGCCCAGCAGGACCTCAACCGCAAGAGACACGTATCGACCGCCTGCTCTCGTTCCCGGCGCGACTGACGAGCTTCTCCAGGATATCGTTCAGTAAGACATGAGCAACCTGAAGGTTTCCGTCTTCTGTGGTGATCGAGGAAGAAAATATGCGCACCTTGCGATTGCAGAAGAACACCAAGTCGTGTGCACTGTAGACCACCGAACCGGTCAGGATCTGCGGGTGCCGCTCTCCAGGACGTGCAAAGTTGCATTGCTCCCTCGCCTCTGGGAAATCTGCGAGGCGAATGGGCGAAGCCAGCTCCACGTCCGTCCGAAACTTGAGTACCTGTGCTCTAGACGGCGCCCCAGGACCCTAGGAAACTTTCGCTATTGGGACAACGCACCAGATCATACTTCAGGCCGGTGGTCCGCTCGTGGTCCTGGCCAGAGCATGCCATGCCATGCCCTTCGGTCTCTTCTTGTGAGGCCTTCGCTCCTCCATCATGGCGTAGGCTTTCCGCAGCTTGAACCACTGTCGCATGTGCCGGGATCCCACAATGGACTGGAAGTGCTCTTCAAGAATCACGTCCTCTACGGAGGCCACCTGAGCCGAACTGGACTCGATACTTTGACTTTGATATACTTTGAATACTCTGCAGCCAAACCCCTGGCCCGCGCCTGCAGCTTCGCTGAAATCCAATCGCCAAGGAGGATGGAGATCGCGTCGTCGCAGCCAGGTGAATTGAATATCGGAGCTGTGTACACCTCGACTTGCATTGCTACCACATCGACTATCGATAATTCTGCTTGCCGACTGCAGAATGCCACAAAGGTGCGAAGACCTGGTATTGCACCTGCAACGAGCTTCACACTCCGAACATCTGCGAACTTCCAGAAAGCGAATTGCCAGAAAATCGCACCTCCTCGACAAAGAGCCGGCCCAGAAGCAAAACCGTGGCTGCGGGGGCACGCACCAAAGAGCCGATTAAAACCTTGAAGGCATCTCTCACTGATCACTGGCTCCTTCTGCTCCGCGACTGACGCAATCACAAGCTCAGTCCGCTCACCGCTATGCGGAAACGCTTTGCTGCTGCAGCTGGCCCGCGCACGGCTAGCGGAGCTTCTGGCCTGAAACAGAGCCAGGCAAGGCAACTCAACTCATTTAAAAAGGTTTTAGCCATTGTCTGCCTGCATTGCCACGCCGACGCCAGTGGCAAGCCTCGATACAGCGATGCATATAGACCTGGCAGCGAGTCTCTTCGAGAACGCCCAAGAAAACTCCTCACGACTCGGAAGGAAACCGTGGTGCTCAGCAGCTCCCGTCGCATGCAGCGCCGCAGGGTAAACTGGTCCTGCACTCGCAAGCAGCAGGTGTCGCAGTGGCGTCTCTCTTTCCCGCTGTGGAACTTGAGACCAAGACTAGGTACAACCGCTGCGCTTGGGACTGGTGTCCGACGCGAACACAATAGGCTCACTCTCACGTCACAGCTCGCAAGTGCAAAGGTTGCAAAAGGGAAAAACATGGAAAAACAGTTGAGGACGTGTGCCCCGGCACTGAGAAGCCGAGCGCAATAGACAACAAACACTTTCGGCTCCATGCCGTGTCGTTGGCTTGCTCTTTCCTCCGAGATCTGGCTTGTCTTTGCTATGACATGGCACCCACTGGACAATAATTGTTCGTGATTTCCGGTCAAACCTTCCCCTTTCGTGCCACCCGGCCTGTTTCATCGAATCCCAGGATCCGAACTTTACGCCGACCCTGCAAACTGTGCAACAGCTAACTTCTGCGCATGCCCATGATCTGGGAGGGTCCTGCACTTCCAGCAGCACAGACCTGTTCTGCGACGGCGAATGCGAGAGATGCGCAGATCGCTGAAAGTTCGCACGGGTCGGACCTCCTCTGCTCGATGCCCGCAGAACTCCAAACGAAGAGCCCTCTCCTGCATTTATCGCCCACACCCGCGGAGCAGACTCGGACAACACAAAGCAGATCTCTCCTGCAATCGCTTGGCAGCTTCCCGCAGAGGGAGTTGCAAAAGGGCTCGTCCAGCAGCCATTGTCTCGCAGGGGCGAAACGTCGGGATCTCCAGTATTGTCTGGACTTCATGCAGGCTCAACACACTGCACTGCAAAACCACAAGCCTGGCAAAGCAACCGATGCCCACACAAAGCTGAGAACACGTCAGAAGATGCGTCCAAGCCTGCCTGATTCAAGCGGCTCAGAATAATGAGATTCTGTACATGGCCCGCTTCCAAGCCTTGTGCAAGCTTGACAGCAGGTTCTCAACAATCAGAAACATAGACCTGACTCCAGGCCCAAGCTGAAACGTCAGGGCAAGAACGCCTCGGCCCAGGCCACGGCGTGTCAGCAAAGCCGCACATCAACGTCGGAGGGCCACGCGGGAAAGCCCCCAGAAGGTGCTGGGCATGCAGGAGTACCTCCACAAGCACACATAGCAAAGCATGTGGTGCAATCTCTTGAAGCTGCGAGCCTCCAAGGAAGTCTTGGCTTTCGATTCGAAGAGCTTGGTTTTCGATCCATTGACAAGCCTTCCACAGCTTCGGCAGAGGCCCATTCGTTGATCATTCGTTGTACGAGCATGATAGCATTCCCGCAGCTTAGCAGCTCTTTCACAGCTTGGCCGGCTGAAGTTGACGGCACGAAGCCGACAAGCCAACGGCAATTTGCCTTAAGACTCAAGACCAGCATCACTGGTATGACGCCCTCTGGAAAGTACCGCTGCTCCACACTTCGCAGTTGAGAAACTCCCCATGTCCTGGCTGAAGCTGCAAAGGCGTGCAGCTCGTCGCTCGAATTGCCGATTCGGACAATGCATGCCAGCGGCACCTCAGCCCAAAAACGAAGCGTCCACAACCCATTGTATCATGCACAAGCACAAACTTAGCTTCTGACTTTCTGCGAGCTTGTCAGAGCGTGCACGCTGAGAAAAGTGCACAAATGGCAGAAGCTGGAGAAGCAACACAGGTGATCCCTGTGACCTCTCAGACCTGTGCCATTCTCACACGTTGACATGGCGAAAAGATTCAACAAGAAGTGACAGCCTGCTGCACCCTTGCCAGAGCCATGTCTGGCGGCACTTCGCCGCATTCATTGGTTAAACACTGCTGGCTTATCACGGCTTACGTTTGCAGCCCTCGTGAGAATCGCTAGGCTGCCCACACTCAGTGGTGTATGAGACTGCACGTACCATGCAAGTTTACTTTCTCCCTTTGAGCCCAACGTCTTTCGAGTGCAATGTCAGTGCGAACACTACCAGCGTTTGGGCACAGCACGCCGCTCGAGCCTGAGCCTGACAAGCGCGTCCCGCTGCTGGCCTGCCGGGCCAATCAGCTCCGTGTCGCGTGTCAAGCCATCTCGACTCCAGGCGTGCAAGAGCTATCTTGAGTCGTCTTAGCACCGAACGAGAACTTGTCGGATTCCCTCTTGGCCCCTTGGCATGGGCTGCTAGTGTAGCTAATGCAGTGTACCACAGCCGTGGCAACCAAGTCAAAACAGACATGGCCTAGCAGGGCCTCGCATCTGAGGCATCCTGAGGCTACGGCAGCTGCTCCAGACGAGCGCATGCCTGGGTGCAACGTTCGAAAGCTTTCTGTTCATAGTCCCGCCCCTGGCCGAAAGCGGGCCTCTTGATCGGCTCGCTCCTCCGATGGGGCGAGGGTGGGATGCTGTTTAACGCCCCGAAACATCTTGTCGCTCCTGCGCCTCTCGGAGCCTTTCGTGCTGGGCCCAGCGTTCCTTTCATGCTGTGACTGGCTGCGACTGCACTTTATGCTGACTGTAATGCCAACGTCAGTAGCGCCTGCAACTCCACCAGAATTGCGCCAACGATGTCGCACTCCTTTATGTCTGGGGCATGCAGAAGCTGTACAGGGAAAGGAAAATGCCAGCACTCGCTTCTCCTCAGCCATCATTCTTTCCAGTCCTGAGCACGACAGCAAGCATCAGCAAGCTGCAGAGTGGATAGAGTGGTGTGTTAGAGGATCTTTTGGAAAACGTCTTGGAATCGGGCGCAGCCGTCGCCAGAGAGCCCAGGCCTGCTCTGTCCAGGTTGCTTCGGCTGCTCGGATTGGTTTTTTAGCTGCATCCGAGTCGCCAATCGAAACCAGAAGCCTACGGCGTCCTCCTCCATCTTTTTGGCAAGACCTCCAAAAAAGCAATGCTCTCCGCTTGCCTCCCTTCTCCTTTCTTCCCTTCGTGTTCGCTTCGCCCTACCTTTACATTCAGTTCGGGGGCTGCAGGCCGCTGCAAGCCAAAGGCCGTCTTTTGGGAAGTGGAATTCGGAATGTGCTGACTGCTGTGCCCTTGCGACAGCGTGGCCTCGAACACCTTGTGAGAACCCTGTAAACTCGGCCTGTCTACCCTCCACAGCATCCACACCATGGCGGGGAGATTTGTTGCGAGGTCTTTTCTTGGGGGCGCTTGTCTACTTGCTTTCGCGGTGCTCGTCTTGAAGTTTAGTGCGGCTGGCGGGTTACAGTCAAGCTTCTGCAACCAAGGTTGCCCGCCTTGCAGCACCGAATCTCGGGAATACTGCAACTGTGCAGAGCGAAGATGAAGTCGCTGGCGCTCCTTGTGACATTGCAGAGCATTGACGACAAGGGTGGCTTCATTGAAAGGCGAGTGGAATCGAGCTGTCCTGCTGATGGCACGAAGCTTGCGCCAAACTTCGTGCGCGTCGCCAGGCTGCAAAGCAAGCTCTCTTCAGAAAGAGCAACTGCACCTGTCTCGGCGGCAACCACCCAGAACAGCTTCAGAGCCCTCTGTCAGGAATTGATGAAGTTGATAGCGCACAAGCACCTGCAGGGACGCCCCGACCATGAGGATCTGTGTCTTCGACCAGCTCCTTGGCGACCAAGCCCAGGCATGCTCCGGCAGTCCGGCAGGGATATTGCCGGCGTATGCCGGTGTGCTGAGCGACGCACACTTGAAGCTGCTGCAACTGACCCAAAAAATGCTCAGATGCACGGTCCCTGCCACAGGGCTGCAACCAGAGAAATGCGGAACGTGAACCTGACTCGAGGGTGCACGAGCCTGGCTGCAAGTTGGCAAAACCGGATCCAGGCCTGGAGTTCGCTGCGAGCTCCGCATTAGCACCCACGGTCCGTGTACAAAGCTGCCAGCTGCTCGAAAGTTGCGCACGGATGCTTGCGAAACATGCACGCGTCTGGGCTCACATGACCCTAATAGCAGCACGTCGAGGACTCCGGTAGCATGAAGGTATAATCAGTGGCACGATAGCATGCAGCGAGCATTCTGGTTGAATGTGCATGCCGGAACAGAAACTGCAGGAGCTAGAGACGGTGGAAGCACAGGGACAAGAATTCACTGCCGTTCCCTGATTGCCTCAGTCCTGCCAAGCTTGCGTTTTGCCAAACAAAGGGTTGGAAATGTCTAGCGGCAGATACATGTTGAGCATTCGGCTGCTCCATAGGAGGTGTTGAACGATTGCTGAAGGATACCACTGAAGATACGACATATACCAGGCACAGACAATCTGCAGACACAAGCGATGTCACGTGCATAAGACCTTGCTTGTTACGACTGCTTGAACTGTGTTAGTCTGGAACCTGCCAGATGTGGAAGGCGAGGTGGTCGTCGCAATCCTGCAGAAGCTTCACAAAGCCACACACTCTCCCTGAGCGGCAGCACGCCTTTCCGTGCCAGCATATCGTTTCGACGAACTTCCGCCGCCAATCAAGGGACCGTGCCTCGGGAACTCCGATTCCTCCGATTCCTCCGAGTTTCCTGTGGAGATTTCGGGCCCGGGCCCGATCTTGTAGTCGCAAGTGCTCCAAGGCACGCTGCCGACAGGCACGGGCCCAAGCCATTAGGACTTGACCCTGCGTTCTCCTTAGCGGCTTGGCATCGCACAGGGCTGCACCTCTGCGAAAGCTCCAGACTGAGGTGTCGTCAGAACCAGGGAGCGCCTCGAGAATCCAGTGGCTATGCAGTCGAAGTGGCGGCGCAGTGCTGAGACCGTCCGCTCGTGGTCCTGCTTTGTTCGCGCGTTTCGCTGGTCTTCGCATACTGTTATCACGATGACATGGCCTCCAAACTGCGCAGTGTCTTGCCAGCATGAACCGCAGCACGCCACTCTGCAAAGGCCTGATGCGGAACGAAGCGTGCACTGCCTCAGATGCTTGCACTGAGAAATGGGCACATCGTTGAAGCGAGTGTCCACTTCTGTCCATGGCGAGTAGTACCTCAAAGACACCGATGCAAAAGCAGAAAGCGAGAGCGAAGATGCTCGTCGGGCCCTGACAGCCTGGACGGCTCGCCCGTTTGCGCCTTTCAGCTTTGACCGAGGCTCTGCAAAGCTCTGCAAAGGCGCTGTGGAAGTTTCCGGGGAGCTGACAGGAAATCAACTCGGAGGCCTGCTGTGCACTTAGCGCCCTTGAGCGAGCCTCCGCAAATGCTCTGCCGGCAGCTCTTCCAATGGCTCTGCGTTCCGTGCAGGCTGCACTGCACTGCCTCCTGCACCCTCTCCTGGACCTCAAGCCGAAGAGCCGAGAACGCACGAGAAAGCAGGACTTCCTGCCCAAGGGTTCGTGACAAAGTGGAAATCAATAGAAAAGGTCAGACGTTCACTGCTTCTCCGTCCTCCTTTGAGCCTTGAAGCAGAGCAAGCCACTTCAAGGAGAGAGAGGTGGACGCTTGCATGTGTCGCACCTGGGCAAGGCATGGATGGAGGAAGGCGGCTTTAAACCTGGCCGCAGGGTTTCAATGCTCCCATGATGGCCGGGTTGGCGCTCTCGCTTCGCCCAAATGAATGGACGCTTTGAAGTGGCGAGGGAGCTTGTTCCCCTCTGGACATCTTCTCATTTCGAAGGGTGTTTCTGGCAGCGAAGGCAATGGCCACACAGAAGGCCACCTTCGCCCACATTCCCGGCGCAAAGGTTTACTGCTTACAATCCGGGAATTCCTTGACTTCTAGATCTTCTAGCATCTTTTCACCACAAACTGCACGTGGGTGTCGTCGCCGCTCGCGGAGGCTGGGGTTACTGCCCGAGCCAGTTCGGATTGCTCCAGGACCTCGCGATGGCGTCTGACCAACACCTGGTCGCATCGCCCCGAGTCTGTTCCCTCAAGTTCTCTGAAATGCGAGGCCTCCTGAGACCAAGCGCCCAGGACATCTTGCAGAGTGAATTTGGAGCCATGTCGCTCCCTTTGCCTGGGACGCAGAAAGTCTACAACAGATTTGAGGCAGATGCAAACAAACACTCTCGCCAACAAAACACTGTGGGAACTGACTGCAACAGATATCGTTGCGCAGAATTTCGACGAGCCTCCAGCCAGCAGTGAATCCGAAATCGCGACCCTCGTCCCTCTCTCAGGCTTCTCATGGCAAACACCTCTTCAAGGCGCAGTCGCGCATGCAAACCGCTGGAACCAGCGGACAAAGCCTGATTCACTGTTCGGCAAGTGACACACTTCACGCATCTCATGAAGGCTAGCACCCAGCATCTCCAAGACAAGAAGAGCTCTTTGGCATCAGCCTCTACGAGTCGGGAACAAACGCAGTCACTGCACCTGTACCGCATCGCGCCTGCAACTTGGACGATGTTTGGTAAGACATTAGCCAAGACAGCCGTGCTCGGTGCCTTGGTCAGAGCACGTCAGGGCCCAGGATGGCCCAGGGATCTGCGTCCGCATTTGCCCGAGTCTTCCACACTGACACACGGCTCGAAAGCTGTGCCTGACAGGAAAAAACGTGGCAAAAACGATACTGTGGGATCATTGCGGTGTTGGGGGCAGTTCGGCGTGAAAAGTGAAAAATGAAAAAGTGCCTCCAGCTCGTTCCGCCTCCGCTGCGCCCGCTCGGCGAGACAGACCTCAAGCCAAGGGATACAGACGGCGGTATCCCCTGGAGGTCGACTTCGACCGGTCGAGGCGAAGGCAGCCCTCCAGCCGTGAAAGACCATGCCAGGCAACGACTGAACACACACGAATCTTCTTCAAGTGGGCGCCCCAGTTTCAGCACCTTGCTCTCCTCAAAGGCACGCAAAAAGACCTCAATGACGGAGCTGCTGTCAGTCTCTAGGCACAGACCAAATGAGGCCACTCTTCAGTGTCACACGGACACTGTTGACAGCTTCGTTCGGCGAAGCTCTCTGGCCGACTGGCATACCTTACGCGCCATGCATTGGATTTGGTGCATTTGTGTGTGATAATCTTGGACGGCCGACCATGACGGCTACACATGTATCGCAACATCCTGGGCAGCATGGCGGCTGATGTAGGCACTGCCTAAGGACCTGCTGCATGGCATTTTCTGATCCTGTTGCTGACGCTCGTGTGCACGGGAAACAAGGCGAAGTTCTTGCTGTTCGAAGCTGCGTGACTGTGCGCATTCTTCCTGCAGATTGAGCTCATAAGCGAATCCTGTGATCAATGACGTCCTTGCTCCTGAATTCTGAACTGTCATGGGTGATCAGTTAGGAAGCCAAATTGATCCAAATTGCAGCCGAGCGTCTCTCCTCCAGAAACGCAGACACTCACAACAAACGTGAGCCTGGCAGGAGTGTCGAGCGAGGAATTCACGGCACCACTTCAGCGTGTTGAGCGGTTTGGCCTCCGTTTGACGAGCCAGCATTGCCAAACATCGTGCCTCTCAGACTCCGTGAACGTTTTCACCCATCCGCATCTACTCGGACTCAACGGAAGAAGCCTTCTTGGCTTCCAAGCTCGTGCATTGGACCTGCTCCATAATACTTATGAAGCAGGAAATCAGGAAGGTGACGAATTCTGACGAGAAACCTCTGCCAGGCGCGCACGTCCAAGTGCAACATCTGCTTTACCTTGAAGCGCCTTCAGTTGAGCTCAGACTCGTCCCGACTAGTAGATGCCCAGAGGGGTTATGTAGCAGGTGTAGCACGTATGTCAACATCCGAACAGCCTGGAGGGCAGACGCGTGCTGCAACTGAATCTCGGCGACTTCAGAGGCATGCCGCGTGGACCTGAATGCAACTTTCGGTGGGAAAGCAGATCCTTAGCCTCCAGAAACTGTGTCGTTTAGTCTGCAGTCGCGTTATAGAACGCTGTAGTCCTGTAGCCGAAGCCTGAAATCCCCAAACTTGGCTTGAATGGGAAATGTGGACCGCACATGGCTGCCAGACCGATCGAGACACCTTGAGACACAAGTTGCCACTGCGCATTCTTTTCCGAGGACGACAGGTACAGCAACCCTCACTTGAAGATCTCTGCTGACATAAGTCACTGGCCGTGCGCAGCATCGGCGGCTCTTGCTTCGGCACAATCCAACCTGACGGGATCTGACAAACACAAGACGGTAAGGTGCTCAATACCGTCAGCAAGCTGGGAAGACGGGCTTCGTCGTCTCTCGTGCAGCGCCGGAGAGGTGCTTGGGACGTAGCCCATCTATGAGACCTGGTCAGCACACGGACAGCCGACTGAACAGCAGCAAAACCGTCAGCTTTGAAGCTCGATCTTGTGCACAACGCCTTGTACACAACACACACAGTCTCCCTCAGTCGGTGTGTCTTTGTCTTTGCGTTTGTGCCTGTGTGCCCTGGCATGTCTCTTGTGCATCTGTGTCTGCGTGTCTCCGTGTGTGTGAGAGAGAGAGAGAGAAAAAAAAAACTGTCCTCGCTCATGGGCAGGTCACTCTCCGTGGTCATGTGCACTTTTTGTTTGTTCACATTTTTTCTCCATGAGCAGGAGCGTGAGGGATGTGCGGTTCGGCCAGGTGCAAGGAAGCTCCAGTCACACATCAGGATATGGTCGAGGGACGCCTTGGCCACATGTCTGAACAGTGATTCTGAACGTAACCAATGCATCTAGCATACTGGTTATCCTCGCTGTTGTTTATCCAATCTTGCAGTAATTTCGAAGGATCGTTTTGACTGCATTCACAGGATTGACCGAATCCGTAACAGTCAGCTATGTTGTGCATGCATGTATATATGCATGCTTGCCACAATCTGTTTCATGTTAGGCAAGCCAGTGACACAGGCATATGTCAGCTAGGACATGCAACCACCAGTTCGTAACTGGGAAGAAAGCCAACCGCGAGCTGAGTGTGAACATCCTTTGAGAAAGTTTACGGGTGTGCGTGCATGAGTGCGTGCAACCCTATCACCAAGGGTAACTGAGTGAAGCTTTGACTTCCGTGCTCATACATTACAAAGCAGGGTGTACTGGAGAGACTTGTAGTCTGCAACCAACAAAGAAGCTGCATTTCTCACGGGTTTGGGCAGGTGGGTCCAGAAGGTCCAGAATCACAAACAAAGAGACAATGAGACACACGACATAGAGATAGCGACGTAGACAAAGAGACACGGAGACAGAGCTCCAGCATGTCCAGCCCCTTTGAGCTTCCCTCGTTTTTTTTTAATGCTCTAATACCCTGCAGCCACTGTAGCCGCCCAAAGCCACCCATAGCCACCCTAGCCACTCAGTGTCACCTGGCAGCTCAGCCTTTTGAGCCTTCCTCGTAGCAGACTTCAACCCAGGAGGGGGCCTTCAGCTCGAAAGCAGCTCGAAGATGACCCAGGACAGCCCTTGCAGCAAAATTTCTGCACACCTCTGCCACTGATGGCCCAGTGGCCTCGACGGCTAGGTCTCGGTCTCGCCGACCACTAAGAACCTGACACGAACTTCTTAGAAACAAAACTTTGCATGCTGCTCTCCCGTGTGCAGGAAGCTTGAACATGCTTGAACTTTCATGGAACTTTCCCTGCCTCTGCAATACTCTGATATTCAACATCTGTCTTGCCGAGTGGTCACGGGACAACCACGCATCATTTATGAGGTATCGGAGGGCTCCGAGAAGGCTTTGACATGTTCGGCGCTTCAACTCAATTTGGAGGATCTGGTCGTCACCAGTTTCCAATTTCATGAGAACGACTGACAAGCCTTCGGAACACAAAGCATGCGCTGTGCAATCGCGCTCGCGGCGACGTGGCCAGCGAGCTGTTTTCCAGCGCATCTCAGCATCAAGTTTGGTTTTCATGTTCTGTTCGAGCGAAGGCCTTGAAAGCCGATGGACCCTCGAAGGGCCGGAACGAGCTTGGATAGCTCTTCATTGACGCACCGCTGTCCGCCTATGCGCGCCATGATGTACCATGACATGCTTGGTGAGTCTTCTGCATCATGTATGACGCACCGCGCTCCTTCTCCGTGCGGTTTGGTGATGTTTGGCGACATGAGCTGGGGCTATGTGAGACATGGCAGCACGACGGCAGCATGCTTCCTCGCAGTTTGCATGTTCCTGTTCTGGCCTCCAGTTGGGTGAACAGCTCCTGGGACCTTGAGTGCTCAGCCTCATCAATCGACGCAACACTGCTTTGAAACATGACTTGTTCTGTTTGCATGGAACTGCCGCAAGCCGTGATTAAGCATTCACGCTTCGGGCCTGCAACTCGGCATGGAGTTGTGCTACCTCGAAGGACAGCGATACATCGCAATTACCAGATCCCTGTGCTGCGGCCAAGGCCTCCAGCCGGAGCTCCGCTGTCTCTCGATGCCGAGCTGCTGCTTCATCTTTCCAGGCCTGCACCTGGCCACTTGCCGCTGTCCGAGTCCCAGAAAGTCCGCCAGTCCGCGTTGCCTCTCCGCGGAGGCGGCGATTTTCACGCCACAAGGAATCCTTCGTCAGCCACAGAGGCACACCTTTCTAAACTCACTGCGCCGCCCCCCCATGGCCTCGTTGCAACCTGGCCTTGGCAGCAACAATCAAAAAATCAAAAAAAGGGCTTGAACCGAGCGATTGCTTTGATCGTTTTGGGCGCTGGCCTGTGCTCGGCAAGGGCCTCGTGCAAGGAGCCCAACTGCTGGAACACCTTCTCTCGTGATGTCACAAAACGTGCCAGTGCATCGAACAGAAAGACAACATGCTGCCTGCACCCGATCCAAGTGAAGCGAGGGTGACAAAGCCTGCTTGGGACCTGGGAAACTACACACAGCTCTCCTTTTTTTGCAGAAACGGCAAGGCCCGGCCCACTTCGCGAACGGCGCGAGGTAGGCGGCCTTCCTGGGAAGGAGAACTTGCTGCGACGTGACTCGGGTTTTGCATGTTGTGGCCCAGCGCCTTCAACACCGGCCTGGGTCGGTAGCTTTTGCTGCGCAGGTCATGCAGTCATGCAGGACTCTGAATCCAAGGGCATGGCTCCGAAGCCAGCCCAAGCTCGTCACGTCCATCACGTCCCATGTATCATGACACCGGATGACACCACTTCACATGGAGCATGAGACTCAGCCGCTGCAATACAGCCTGCATAACTCTGGCTTTGAAAGTTGCATGTGACGTGCGGCACTCTGAGCCAGCTACAAGACAGTGTCATTATTTTTTGAGAAACTAGGCACACACCCATCACCAGCCCAGGTTGCACGGGCCTATCTCCAACGGCGCAGAGGAGCCCTTCGAAGGGCCTATCTATTCGCGAGGTCGCCACCACTCCAAAACCGAATCTGCGAATCTGCAGTGCTGGGCTCCCAACAGTTTTTTCCAGAAGAACCACCGCAGACCCACGGCACTTGCGAAAGCTCCTCCTGTGGCGAATACGGACATGCTCGCAACCCAACCCCAACAACACAGCGCACGCCAAATGCAGAGGGAGTACGATGCTCCAGCACCAATGGCGAGCGTGCAACACCAAAAATGCACCAACACGGAACGGGACAGCACGGCTGAATTGACTTCAGGCCGCATCCAGAGTGACCGCTCCGTCCGCAAGTGATTGGTTGACTCGTGAAACCTAGGTGTATGCACTCAAAAAAATCAACTCTTGGACAAGAACTGGACCTTCTAAATCACTGGTACGGAAAAAACCGCCACCACCAAACGTCTGCCTGGAACAGTGCACAGTCGAGTGCACGCACCCGAACCCGCTCACATCACAACCACCTTCACCAGTTCCATCCACCCAAGACTTGCCTGGCCATAGCCGCGGGCAAGCCCAAAAAATCTTTAGAGCAGCGTTTGACAAGAAGTTCATGTCCGATGTCCTGTACAAACGGTCAGAATGACTAGCAAGAAGTGTCTGCCTGGCTTGGCGCAGGGTTGTGCTTGCAAGGGCTTCGCCTGGATGGGCTTTCGGATACGGGATCGCCTGCACCGGTGTTAGCACAATCGAGACTGGCAGATACTTTGGGCGACGATTAAGTAGAGTTGTAAAGCTCTTTCTCTCGTGATCTCATCACTTGGCTCCGAAAACCTTCACCACAGAAAGATTGGAAGAATCCTGTTCAAAAAGTGCTTTGATTCTATTGACGAAAACGTGTACTTCTGGCGGGATGGCTGGACAACTTAAGCTTGCGGGTGGCTTGCTGATTTGGTTCTCACCGTAGAACCTGGGCACATTTTTCCTGGAGATTGCAGTGAAACTGAAAACTAGGTCAGATCTACATGTTTGTCCATGTCCGACACTCGCAGGATCCTGGTTCAAGACAGATGGCAGCAGCAGCAGCAGCAGCAGCAGCAGCAGTCGGGACCAGCTTTCAGGAACAGTCTCGGCGCGTGCATGAAAAGAATTGAAGGATCTACAAAGTCAAAGCTAGCAAAATCTGCGAGCAGGTTCAGAGTCTTTGCGGGATGCCGTCCGTCACGCCGGCGATCTTCACTTATAACGGGCTACGATAGCCCCGGGCTGCGAAAGCCGATGTGCAAGATGTGCTGCTAGCACGGGACTGCGGCCGACGTTGCAATGGCTCTGCAAGTGGACCCGTGCAATGTTGACCCCTCTGCCAGAAGCACGCGCTTCATCAATAGAAATCAAAATACGTTTTTGGTTAAACGGTTTCTTCTTCCGAGCCACGGCGATCCCGACAAACAACCCACTGGGTACTTAATCATCGCCCAAAGTATCTGCCAGTCTCGATTGTGACACCCGTGCAGGCGATCCCCGTATCCGAAAGCCCATCCAGGCGAAGCCCTTGCAAGCAAAACCCTGCGCCAATCCAGGCGGACACTCGCTAGTCAAATGGCCCCTTGCCCCCGTTTCTGGCCAGGCATGCAACAGCAACCTTGTGCCACCCCCTTCAAATCCTTCAAAGCTGATCCCCCCTCCCAGTCTGGGGCGGCAAGGAAGCTCAAAACTGTGTGCAACATCTGCGGAGAAGCTTGTTCCGGTGGCAACTCAAACGCATTTGCCGTCTACAGGCCTCCAGCTTTTGGAAGTTGGCGGGTGGATGAGCTGCAAATGCAGTCAGGCCAGCCTGGTCCGTGACCTGTCTGAATGCAGAATCAAACCGATGTTCAACAGTCATCGAAGGCGTCGGCCTCCATGTTCTGATTCAGAACTTCTCGCCCGATGAAAGTGCTCACCTGGAGCATAGCTCTGGCATGCGACAGCAAACCTCTAGTCTGGAAGTAGATGAGGGTATTGAGGCCAGTGAAATCAGCCCTGGGAAAGCAGGAAGTAGTAGTAGTAGTAGTAGTAGTAGTAGCAGCAGCAGCAGCAGTAGCAGCAGTAGCAGCAGTAGTATCATTATTGCAGCAGTAGTAGCCGCAGTAGTAGCAACAGTAGTAGCAGCAGTAGTAGCAGCAGTAGTAGTAGTAGTAGTAGTAGTAGTAGTTGTTGTTGTTGTAGCAGTAGCAGTAGCAGCAGCAGCAGCAGCAGCAGCAGCAGCAGCAGCAGCAGCAGCAGCAGCAGCAGCAGCAGTAGGAGAAGTAGTAATAGTAGCAGTAGTAGTAGTAGTAGTCCTCGTCGTCGTCGTCGTAGTAGTAGTGGTAGTAGTAGTAGTAGTAGTAGTAGTAGTAGTAGTAGTAGAGTTGTTGTTGTAGGTAGTAGTAGTTGTTGCAGTAGAAGTAGGTGCAGTAGTAGTAGTAGTAGCAGCAGCAGCAGCAGCAAGTATTACTCGTACTAGTGCTAGGACTAGTACCAGTCGTACGTCCCTGGGCTGCCCCACAGCATCATTCGCTGCCCTTCTCGTCCATGTCTTCTGCCGGGGATGTAAGCGACGGTCTGCCGACAGGAGGCAGGACCACACCTGATACGGCAAGGTGCAAAGTGTAGGGCTGCAAGCATCACATCTTTCAGCTGAGCCGTGTTTTTTATTCGCTGCACGCACTATCAACAAGAACAACAGGACCAGGCAAGACCCTCGTACCCCAAAAACAAAGGCTAAAATAGCGGCACAAAGAACACATGCTACTGCAGTGCCAACAACCACCAGTTCCCCGCTTACAACTCCTACAACAACTGCTACTTCTTGCACTACCACTGCCACTACAACTACAACTACGATCGAAGATGCTGCCACTACCACCACGACCAGTACCACTACTCCCACTCCCACTCCGAGTACAATTACCACTACGAGTACTACTACTGCTACTACTACTACTACGACGACGACGACGACGACGACGGCTACTCCTACTCCTACTCCTACTCCGACTCCGGCTCCTACTCCTACTGCTACTGCTATTGCTACGACGACTACTAGTACGATCACTATTGCTAATAAAGAATAACAATAAAGATTAAACCGACCAAAGCAGAAGAACGAGAACAACAACCACTGTAAGCATGGAAATTGTAATAATCCTTGCAAGGACGGAGCAGGAACCTATGGCGAGTGCGCAGGCGGTTTTGCAACAACAAGATGAGATCTGGCTAGCTGAAAATGCGACTCAAAAACTCCTACTGTATGCGCATGCCCAACTGTGACCTGATACTACATGTCATCATAGCCTTACAGGCTGGGCGAAGGCCTCAGGCCTCCGGGGCATGTCAGAGCATCTCTGCAATGTTACTGACATATAATAGATATATTAGTTAGTTAGATAACATAAAGTATACATAACAGTCAGCAACACAAGTATAAATACCGCTACCACTGCCACCACAGCTGGTACTACTGCGACTGCCTCTGCTGCCAACTACGTTGTGTTGAGCTACACATGTGGACAGGCGCGCACCGTTCAGCCCAAGTCTGTGCATGCCCGAATCACTGTCACATCTCTCGATTCGACTCTTGATGCTTTTCTACTCGGTCAGAGTCTCGGGAGCGGGCTGTTGAAGCGTGTCACGTCGTCACGAATCTTTCGCAATTCCTGTCTCATCACCTCAGATGCACCGGCTGCAAATATGCCTCAACTGCGACAACCTCCACAGTCCTTGGCCTGCAGCTCCGCCACTCTGCCGTGAATCTGCACACAGCTCGACACGAGTCTACTTCCTGGCAGTTGCTCTCTGCCCAAGGCGCCGTATTTTCGTAGCTCATCCGCGCAACCTACCAGGGATTGCTGCTCTGTGTTCCGGGGCTCTATCTTCGATTCACACAGGAACCTGCAAACTGCCAGGCGTTTCTGTCAGAGATATCTTCAGTCAGCATGGCTTCAAATGTAGGTTGGTGTCATTGTTGAAGGGACCCTGCAGGATGCACGAACAGGGCGGTGTCATGCAGCCGCGAGAGTCAAGGCCTACTTTACTCGTCGAGTTCTGTATTCTGCCCCCCAGCTAAAATTCGAGTCATGTTGTAGCTTGGGCCGTCCTTCCCCGTGATTCTAGTGGCACCACAACATGTGTTGAAGTGGATTGTTCTTTGCGACTTCGCACAGATTCTGTTTCATTTTGCGCATATCCTATGACGACAACTGCTACTCAGCCGAGTGCTGTTGCTGGCTTTAAGTCCCACTGCTGCTGCGTGGGCTACGGAACAGCAACCGCTGCAGATGTTGCTGCTGCTGTCCCTCCACCTCCCCCTCCTATGTACTAATTCCCGCTACTACTACTACTACTACTACTACTACTACTACTGATACAACTAGCTTTAGTACAAGTACTAGTTACTAGTACTAGTAAACTAGTATTACGACTACGACTATAGGACTCGACTGCGACTAGAACTAGGACTACGACTACTGGCTACTGAACTGTTGCTGCTGCAGCTGCCAGTAGTAGTACTACTAACACGACGACGACCTACGACCACTACTGCTACCACTGCTTTGCGAATTGCTGCCCCTCCTACTATTGCTGCTGCTCTGACTACTACTGGTGCTGCTGCTGCTGCTGCTGCTGCTGCTGCTACTGTTCCTGGCTACTGTCACTACTACCACCAGTCAACACCAGTACTTCTTCTCTTCTGCTGTGATTGGTAATGCTACTCTTCCTTTCTTCTAGAGTGCGCGCCCACTGCCCCTGGTTCTATTCTATACCTGTTTGGCATGATGCCTGAAGAACCGTCAATACCACGAAAGCG